TATATATATATATATATATATATATATATATATATATATATATATATATATATATATATATATATATAATCAATTGTTTTGGTCCTGAATGCTGATTGGTCAATAAAAACCATGCTATATTGCATATATAATCACAGCTGAAGGGTTTTGAAACCTTTTTTTCTCTGTAAATATGCGCAAGGTGGACGTATTTGATCGTGGCATCTTTTGCAGTGTTGCGTACATGAGACACCAATCTAAAAGTACCACACTCGATTTAAAAAAAAACCCTCGTCTCTAAAAATTGTGTGTTTTTTTTCATTCCACGACCCTGTGTTGTTTTTAAGCACAAAAACGTTTTTGTGTGTGAATGGCCCCTAACGCTGGCCTTTAGCCTTTTTTGTTCAGGTGGAAGCTTTGATCAGCTATAGGACAGGTAAGTACCAGGTAAATTCGTTTTTCAGAATGTCTTGAATTAAGACTTATGGCGAACACTTGTTAAAAAAAAAACAAAAAAAACAAAACCGTGTTTCTACCTTGCTTAACCAGCTAAGCATGAAACTTGTTTTTCTTTGTATGTGCAGTACAAACTAACAACCTCTAAAAGATAAACCCATGTGAACACAGGTGTTGCAAGATTCTTTAAGTAACTGCAGTTGATTTTTTAAGCACAAAAACGTTTTTGTGTGTGAATGGCCCCTAACGCTGGCCTTTAGCCTTTTTTGTTCAGGTGGAAGCTTTGATCAGCTATAGGACAGGTAAGTACCAGGTAAATTCGTTTTTCAGAATGTCTTGAATTAAGACTTATGGCGAACACTTGTTAAAAAAAAAACAAAAAAAAACAAAACCGTGTTTCTACCTTGCTTAACCAGCTAAGCATGAAACTTGTTTTTCTTTGTATGTGCAGTACAAACTAACAACCTATAAAAGATAAACCCATGTGAACACAGGTGTTGCAAGATTCTTTAAGTAACTGCAGTTGACTGAGCTCAGTTTACACTCTCGTGTCTCATAGAAGACTGAACTAAATAAAACAGGCCTGGATGATAGAACCCTGGCTTTGAAATACTCAAGGAAAAACAGACAGATGGGGAGCACTTGCTCTGACATGATGGTGTCTTAATAATAATCACTTTACACATAGTAAAAGGTCTTAATGCTTTAAAGACACATCATGTGTCATCTTCCGGTGACTATACCGCAGATTATACCGCAGTCACGTAAACCTGAAGATTTCTACATGGTGAGGTCAAGGTCCAAGTGAATAAAACTAAAGTTCAAAGTTTTTAGAAATTCAGCTGAAGCTAGTTTCCAGTTAATTTCATGTCATAAAACAAAAGATTTGGCCCTGAATATCTGTAGGATTGTTTTGCATAGGCCCATATTCTGTAGTAATTGAATGATTTCCTCTTCCTCTCTCAGTCTCTCCATCATTGACCGTAGCAAAATGCCACTGGGAGAGGATGGACACTCTTGGAAAAAGAAAACGTCGAACATCAAGGACATCTATGACTTCAAAGAGGTTTTGGGAACGTAAGTATAAGAACATTTTACTTCCAACTCATCAGCTACAAAGCTACCGCTGATGTTTGCATTTGAGCTGATGGCAGTTGTTTCTTCCTGATATAAATCATACTTGTCTCTATTGAATTATGTTACAGTTTTGTGCTAAGGACGTTTTTGCGTTGACCTGTGCAGACGTGGCACTTCTCTTTCATTCCAAGTACATGATCATGATGTTTGCCAAAGAAATCAAGCTTTTAATGGACATTTAACAGGGAACATTCACTATTTAGTACTCAGCCCACTTTGGCGAATCAGATTACAATAGGAAATTATCCAATCATAACAGAGCTCATTTACAAATAGAGGTCTTAAAGTTACAGTCTGTGTAATTCAAAGTATTTTTGGTGCAAGAAACCTTCTCTATCATTACTTCAGAAAACAAATGCTATATACAGTAAGTCTATAATATGGCTTAAACAAACCAGATGTTCTCAATTTGACAAGCAGCGACAAAATATGAATATGAAACATTGTCCAGGCCATTTTACATAAAGTGCTTATTAATAGAAAGATGCTTTCTTAGTTATACATTTTTCTGGTTCTGATCCCACTTGTTGTTGTTTTTTTCTTTAGCTAGTTTAGAAGTGCTTCATTTAGCACTGTAGATCCAGTAGCGGTACAAGACTTCTCCCAAAACGCTGTCAGAGTATTTAAGTACAATGTTCCATCCACATCAACAAAAAAATACAGAAGTTTAAGAACCATTATGGGTTTTTTTTGTGCTGGAACCAGTTCTAAACAGGAATCAATGCTTAATTCCAAATGCTTTAAACACTTCCACATGCTTTACTCAGAGCCATTTTAAAGACTGGGGGCCATTGTAAGGACTGATTTTTAGGGCTTGTTTAGTTTTCAGGCGTGCAGGGTGACCCTTGACCTCTTCTTATACAGTGACAGGAGTGGGAATATTCAGGGCCCATATCCTAGGCCTGGATTCAATGGAATCTTTTGTGAGATCATGTCTGCAGTGAGAGTAACAGAGAGAAGGGGAAATTATGGTTGGTCTCGTTTTCTCTGCTGTAAATACTGTAGGTTTAATGAGAATACAGAACGACATGTTATGTTTTAAACATTCCCAGAATCCAGTTGGAACAAATGGTAAAGTCTTAATCTCAAGCTTTTCTTTCTCAAGCTTAAAGATTTCAATATTAGCCAAACTCAACAGCTCTACGTCGTTCAACTGCGAGTTCATCGTGGGTTGGTTGTCTTGGCAACAGGAGGAGACACTTTCCATATGGACTATAACTGTTGCTATGGAAACAAAGTTTTTATTTCCTATTAATAATCTGGCGGGTAAATGTGTAAGCATTGAGAGCCTCAATGTTCAGTCTAGTGGAAAAGATTTTGGGAGTATTTTGTCCAGTTGTGATGGTCTGCTGAATTTCTTTGTGACTTTGTGTTGTAGTGGACGCTCACCATTTTGAGGGACAGTATGCAGCTCCTCATTAAATCCAGGACTAAACAAACTCTTTAAACAGTCAGTCTCATAAGTCTCAGTCTCACTGGAGAAGATGTCAATATTACTGTTAATGTGCTTCACTAAAACTGCTATTTATTGAGTAAGTGTGAGGCTCAGGAAATGCAAATTGATGCATCTTTTAAAAGCCAAAGCCATTTCGTTTGGTGTGGAGTCATAAAAGCCTGCTGTAAAAGCCAACTTAGGACCATCTGGAACAAGCTTGTAGACCATTTTGGACCAACAATAAACCAAAGTGGTGGTTAAGCTGGTTTTATGAACACGGGCCATCTAGAAACCCGCTAAAATGCTCTAAAACACAGCTAGCATCATCTTAAGATCGATTTTCCAGCAGGCAATTGAGTCAGCCTAAAGTTCATAGATACATGATCAGGATCAGTAAGCTGCTCTGTTCTTCATTCATATTTTTCATTGAGATATTTTCCAGGTTCTGCAGTAGCACAGTCGTGCACAGAAAATGTTTGCAGTAATTTCATGAATTTCACCCGTTTTTTTAAAATTATGTTAAAGCAGTTTTTCAGTAGGTTCTCCATTTTTGTATGGCAGACCATAAAATAAACAAAAAATCCTATAGATCTCAGGCCTGTTTACATCAAGAACGATAACGATAACTATAATTATATTAACATCCACACCGATGGACGATAACGCTTTGTTTACTCCAAGCACACACTACAATTATGCCGTCATTTGCTTTAAATGGTTTGTATCGCTAATTCCCTGGAAAAATTGTTCTTAGAGAGCAGGTCATATGTTTTTTTTAAAGTGTCCTAATATTGTGTTGGAGTCCCCTACAATAGGTTTAAGGTCAGAAAACACTGTAATTTTCCCAGAATATACATTTATACATAGAGTCACTTGTCCATGATTTCGAAACGGTTCGTTCGATTCAGTTCTGAGATAAATGTCTGTAAACCCCTCACTTCCATAAGCCTACTCTGCTCTGATTGGTCAGCTGGCCAAGCCTGTTGTGATTGGCACAAAGAGGAGCGCTTGAGCAAGTTAGCGAGCACTTAGTTGACTTAGTTGACCATCTGTGTTGCCATGTCCGTGGTTGTTTCTGATGTTGTGGTTGTAACATCAATAATGTTATATTTAGGCACTGGAATGCGAATTTACCAGGGGAACCCCGACTGAAAGCGTGTATTTTACACCCCAGAACGCAATTTTTAAAGGGGGACCACCCTCGAAACATGATTGGGCTAGTTTTGAGTAGCAATTGGGCGGGTTTTGTTGTGACAACCTCGCAACCCTAGCATGCACCTTTACATAAAACAATAATATAGTGCTCCAATCAGTTCTTAAAATAATGACATAAAACATTTTATTTAACACTTATGCAAGCGAATCGTGCCCACAGCAAAAGTTTAGCTGCTAAACTGTAAATACTTAACAAAACAATAATGGTGGATACGTTAGCCGAGTGCTAACGTGACTAACTGATGAAACAATACAGTTGTTCGAAATTCGTGGGCAGGCGGGGATTATGCTAATGTTTTACCCAGTGACGTAGATCAGTAACAGGCAGAATATTCGAAAATATAACGACTCGTTAAGGCGATTCTGAGTCGACTCTTTCTTTTGAGAGACAATATCTTTATTTATCGTGCACTTTTTTGATTAACAACTTTGCAGACTGTTTACATTGAAGGATAGCTACCTTACAAACTGCAAAAGAGATATTTTTCGAAAATTCATATGACCTGCTTTTTAAAATGATTCCAACAATATCGTTACTCTGTGTGGTTATCGTTATAGTTGTGGTGTGGACTTCCCTATCCTCGTAGAACGACTGTTAAAATTTTATAGGTATAGTTATCATTATAGTTTTCGTCATTGGTGTCAACGACCCCTTGCACTGATGGAGGATCCAAAACTCATAGATACTAGTTGGTCAGTAAGCATTCGCCCAAAACACTTTAGCAGCTCATTAGCAACATGCTAGAAAGCACTAAGATCTACCTAGTCATAATATCTTTGTGGTAGTTCCTCCACGGCTCTTTTATTTGATGACTTGATTCCAAACTCTTCTATGGGCCTACGTCTTGGATGTTTGCCTGTAAAGCATATGATTTCATATTACGCTATCATACAGTACGTTGCAAATATATTACAGTATTCCTGGTGTATTTGGATTCTTGTGAAAGCGCTGTTTGCTCTGTTTGTATCCAAGAGCAGCAGACTCCCCCACCCAATCCCTCGTGCCTCCGCTCTCATGTAGTTATTCTACAAACTTAGTTTATCAACACCATAATGACTTCCTTGAGTAAATGTTTGACTAAGTGACTCCTGTGGACAGTCTTTCAGATTAAACAGACTGTTTTTTGAGGACGTCGTTAAGAGGGTTGTGTAATCTTCGGTAAGTACACATAATTGTGATGCTTAGCAAATGTACATTAGACTTAAATTCTTGAATGAATGTGTGTTTTACAAAGTTTCTCCAACTGTAACAATACACGTTCTTGTCTTTTTTGCGCTTGATGTCTTATAGTGTGCGAATTGAGCGAGGTCAATTTATAACCTATACATTTTTAAGATAATTTACAACTGTCAACTGTAATAAATTGAGAAGTAATGACGGTACTTACTGTATGTGTTGTCTGATACAGAACCTACCGAAAAACAGCAGAGTGATCTTGCTATGGTTACTTCCTTAGGTCAACATGACTTTAGTTTGCAAGCATCTATGTTGAAGGTTTGTTTTAAAGTGCTCTTTATGTAATATGTAGAAATAATATTGTTTTATTATATATAGGCCTACATCTGTCACGCCCTTGGACTGCCACTGTGTTCCTGTCTTGTGTTTTGCTCCCCATGTGCTCCCCATGACCCAGTTTCTCCATGTTTGATTGTGTTCATTGATTTCAGGTGTTTCTCGTTAATTCCCTCGTTTGGTTCCAGTTATTTAAGCCCAGTGTTTTCCTGTGTCCAGTGTTCGGTGTTAAATGTCAGCGTTGTGCTACGTGTGTGTCCTGCCTTTATTCCCCTTACCTGTGGATTAATAAAAACTGTTCCTCGTAAATGATCCGTCGTCTCCGCACTCCTTCGTTCCTCACAGTAGCGAACCGTGACGACATCAACATGAAACAGCATTTACAACCATTTTTGTTTCTGTAATGCAACATATTTCCAAGTTAAATATGATAAAAATGTGGGGAAAGAACTGATTTTATCCATCGGAAATATAGTATAAAAATATATTATAGGTGGTTGGAGGGGAGGGCTTAAACCATGAGAGGTCTTGGTGATGTCATCCGAAAAAGGAACGTTTTTCAGTAGTGGAGCAATTTTGTACATTTTGACAAAAGCTTTATTATATGCATGGTTTGTTCCTGGTTTCAAGGACAGAAGCATGTATCAATAAAAGTAAATGAGGTCAGTTTTTATTTGACTCATATTAAAGGGTTTAGTGTCCCTCTCTTTGTATATTTTGGTCTTTCTTCTGTTTGGTTTTTGGTAATTTCCTACTCCAATCACGTAGTGAACATGC